CATCCTCTTCTTCTTCTACTTCTTCATCATCATCCTCTTCTTCTTCTTCATCATCATCCTCCTCTTCTACTACTACTTCTTCTTCTTCCTCTTCATCATCATCATCCTCTTCTTCTTCTACTTCTTCTTCCTCTTCATCATCATCATCATCCTCTTCTTCTTCTACTTCTTCTCTTCTTCATCATCATCATCTTCTTCTCTACTACTTCTTCTTCTCTTCATCATCATCATCATCTTCTACTACTTCTTCTTCCTCTTCATCATCATCATCCTCTTCTTCTACTTCTTCTTCCTCTTCATCATCATCATCTCTCTTCTTCTCTCTACTTCTTCCTCTTTTTCATCATCATCCTCTTCTTCTTCTACTACTTCTTCTTCCTCTTCATCATCATCATCCTCTTCTTCTTCTACTTCTGCTTCCTCTTCTTCATCATCATCATCCTCTTCTTCTACTTCTTCTACTTCTTCTTCCTCTTCATCATCATCATCATCCTCTTCTTCTTCTACTTCTTCTACTTCATCATCATCATCCTCTTCTTCTTCTACTTCTTCTTCCTCTTCATCATCATCATCCTCTTCTTCTACTTCTTCATCATCATCATCATCTCTTCTTCTTCTACTTCTTCTTCCTCTTCTTCATCATCATCCTCTTCTTCTTCTACTTCTTCTTCCTCTTCTTCATCATCATCCTCTTCTTTTTTCTTTCTCTTTTTAATCATCATCCTCTTCTTCTTCTTCTACTACTACTTCTTCCTCTTCTTCTTCATCATCATCCTCTTCTTCTTCTTCTTCTTCTTCATCATCATCATCATCCTCTCTTCTTCTTCCTCTTTATCATCATCATCCTCTTCTTCTACTTCTTCTTCCTCTTCTATCTTCATCCTCTTCTACTTCTTCTTCCTCTTTATCATCATCATCCTCTTCTCTCTTCTTCTTCTTCTTCTACTTCTTCCTCTTCATCATCATCATCCTCTTCCTCTTCTTCTACTTCTTCTTCCTCTTCATCATCTTCATCCTCTTCTTCTTTTTCTTCTTTTTTGTCTTCCTCTTGCAGGTCACTGCTCATGCGTAGATTTTTTATCGGTAAAAAATCGGCCGATTTGCCCATTATTACCGCGAAAATCGGCCGATTTTTTTTTTTTTCCAACTTTACCGAAAAAAAAAAAACGGCCAAAATACCGAAAAAACGGCCGAACAAATAGCCCACTAACGATCTGAAAATCGGCCGATTTTATTTTCAGCCGAAAAATCGGCCGATTTTCGACCCATCTATGGCCTGCATTACCCTCACAACTACACTATATTGCCAAAAGTATTGGGACACGCCTGCAGATTATTGGATTCAGGTGTTCCAATCACCTCCATGGCCATAGATCGGGTGTCGGCAACCCGCGGCTCCAGAGCCGCATGCGGCTCTTTTTCACCTTGGCTGCGGCTCCGGAGCACACTGCCCACCAGGTGACAGGCAATAGGGCAGCAATGGGCAAACTACGGCCTGGCGGACCTTTTAATCTGGCCCGTGGAGCTAGGCTCCCGCAAGGCTCCTCTCACAGTCTGCCCTGAAGACCGGTGTAGCATGAAAATCTGTCTCCTATGAGGATCTATCCCCCTCGACGTATCTGCGCATGTGCCGGAGATCGCCGATTGGCTGCCAATGCCTGAAACTGGCACATGCGCAGATACGTCGAGGGGGACAGATCCTCATAGGAGACAGATTTTCATGCTACACCGGAACGGCGCGGGAGCACGGCGAGAGGAACGCGCGGAGCAAAGGTAAGTGAATTGACACAGGGGAGACTTGGGGACTTAATATGGGGGATGAATTACTATATGGGGGATGAATTACTATGGGGGATGAATTACTATGGGGGATGAATTACTATATGGGGGATGAATTACTATATATGGGGGATGAATTACTATGTGGCGGATGAATTACTATGTGGCGGATGAATTACTATGGGGGATGAATTACTATATGGGGGATGAATTACTATATGGGGGATGAATTACTATATGGGGGATGAATTACTATATGGGGGATGAATTACTATATGGGGGATGAATTACTATATGGGGGATGAATTACTATATGGGGGATGAACTACTATGGGGGATGAACTACTATGGGGGATGAATTACTATATGGGGGATGAATTACTATGGGGGATGAATTACTATATGGGGGATGTATTTTCAGTTTTAAAAATGTGGCTCTCAAAATAAATTTCAATCGTGGTTTTGGCGAGATTTGGCTCAGTTGAAAAAAAGGTTGCCCACCACTGACCTAAGGCTATGATTGTGATTATGACAATACACTGTGGCCCTGATTAACCCTTTGCTTACTGGGCCCTTAAACCCCCTTCATGACCAGAGCGCTTTTTGCAATATATGTAGTGTCGGATTTGTTTTAAATGTTGCAATGGTTTTGCGACTCCCAGTCTTTTTTTCCCTCTTGGAAACGGGTCCAAGTGGCTCTTTATGTCTTAAAGGTTGCAGACCCCTGCCATAGATGTATAAAATCAAGCAGCTAGGCATGCAGACTGCTTCTACAAACATTTGGGAAATAATGGGTGGCTCTCAGAAGCTCAGTAAATTCAAGTGTGGTACCGTGCGATAGGTTGCCACCTGTGCAATAAGTCCAACCATGACATTTTCTTGCTACTAAATATTCCACGGTCAACTGTTAATGGTATTGTAACAAAGTGGAAGCAAGTGGGAACAACAGCAACTCAGCTACGAAGTGGTAGTCCACATGAAATGACAGAGTGGGGTCAGCGCATAATGTGCAGAATTTTCCAGAGGTTTGCAGAGTCAATGGCTAAAGACCTCCAAACTTCATGTGTCCTTCAGATTAGCACAACAACAGTGCGTAGAGAGCTTCGTGGGTTGGATATATCTCCTTGTTGGTAGATGGGTGATGTTCTGTTTAGTGCCCACACAGCTAGTATAGCAGTCTGGAGATTTCCCCCCACTCTCTCCCTCTTCATTCTCTAGGGTTTTTTAAATCCCTACAGAGACTGGAAGGAGGGTGGTTAGGATGTTCACGGTTTCATTTTTCTGCAAAGGTCAACTAACCCTTTAAGGCAGTGGCATTGATTTACTGCATGTATGCTTAGGCTATGTATGCACTTTAGGCTGCATTTGAGTGGGCACAGTAGCCCAGGAAAAAAAAAGGCCCTTGCACCTTTTCAAAATTGTAGCCATGCTGAAACCAAATGGTGCAAAATCACCCTGCAGTTTCTTGCACCCGCTAACGTGCTGGGAAAGGGAGCACTGCCAACTTGCAAAGTCTTTCAATCCAGCAGGGGAGAACTTGGTCATGGCTGACAACGCTGCTTGTTTCAGGCAGTATTGTCAACAAACAGCAAGAAGATAGGAATCAAAAAGTTCTGTACATTGTTAGCATTTTTTAAATTGATAAAAAAAAATGTGCAATGTGCAGAGATGCAGTGCATGTTTTGTGTTTTTTTTTTCTTGTAATTTTGCCTAATTAAGTGGTTTCACCTTTTTAGAACATGTTTTTGGTGCATACATTTGCAAATGCAGGTGAATCCACACTGACACATTGAAGGAAAAGTTCACTTTTGTTAAATAAATAAATGCACTTTTTTTTTTTTGCAGGAACAAAATGTGCGTTTTTTATTTATTTTTTTTTTTTTCTTTGGAGCCTGCAGAGCAATGGATCAACGAACAGATCACAGGTGTCAGGCTCCTGCAGACTCTCGGTACACTGTTTGCCGAGCAGGAAGGAATCTATGAACTACAATGGTACAGGGCTGCTGCTTTAGTAACATGTTACTAAAAGGGAACCTGGCCTTTAAGGCACCTCTGCAAAGTGTGGTCTCTGACTCAAATCTATTTGACCTTCCAACCTGAGGTACATATATAGCAATACTAAAACTCATCAAATAAAATGTCAGCCACACAAACTATATAACTACCATTGGAAAGGTGTACATGGGCAAGGCACTACATTATACTATGCAAACATTCCCAGGAATGAATTTAGATAGTTGGCAAAAAAGACTTAGTGGTTGTATACCCTTACATATACCCAGTGAAGTGACTGGCCTCAAGTGATACACAGAAGTTAAACAAGTCCACCTGCATGTTATACCTGTTTATCTGCAGTCTTCTCTTCTCTGCATCTGCTCAAAGTCCTGAATTTATAAAGCTTGTCTGAGCTGTCACAAAGCAGGGGGCAAAGAGCTTAATTAACACTCTGCAGAGCAAAGTGAGGAGAGAGCTGAATGGAGGGAAGAGACAACCCCTCCACAGGAACTGAGCTGAGGCTGTCAATTTGCTGGAAACTTGCCAGAAATGACTCATGCTGATAGAGGAATGAAGCAGCAGACAGAAATCACACTTAGGGGTTTATTTACTTAAGCTTGAGATTGCTAAATCGGGCTCACTTTTGCATAGAAACCAATCAGCTTCCAGGTTTTATTGCCAAAGCTTAATTTAACAAGCTGAGGTTAGAAGCTGATTGGCTTCTATGCAGAAGTGAGCCTGATATTGCACTCTCCAGCTTTAGTACACACTATAGAGGCATATGCTTTCTTCATGCCTGATATGTTTGTATTTCATGCCTGAGGCTTACAATTACTTTAATGAAATGTTTTTCACATTTAGGTTAAAAACAGAGATTTGTGTTGTGTACAGACAGGTGTCAGACAGAACAGGAAGTTAGGGCAGTCCAAAACTGGAAAATAAATATTCTGGAGATGAACTCTTTATACAAGGATGTGGCTCATTGTGGACTATATTTATTTGCTTAGAAGTTTCCAAACTGTTGGAATGTTTGGATATTATTTGTTATAAAACAAGAAGACTAAGGATCAGTAAAGACTGTTAGTCCCGGACAGCGGAATATGGAACTTTTGTGGGCTGTGTAAGTTACACATGACAGGCCATAGTACTGTGTTTGTTCCATTAGGCAATATTGTTAAGGTGCATGTTCGCTTTTACTTCTATTAATGGGATTCTCTTTGCATTAGATGGCGCTGCCATGCGAGCTGGAGTGCAGACAGGGGACCGCATCATCAAGGTACAAAATACTTTAATACTGTAGCCAAAAGAATTTATTTTTGCCAATAAAATTCCAATCTTTTATTTTATGTATTTTTATTTCCGACAATGATTGCTTTTTTCTGCCTTTAAAATGATACTGGTTTAAAAATAAAATATTTTTTAGTATGTATTCTTAATTCAAAAAATGCACCTTATATATTGCTCTCGGCTTCCTCCAAATCTCCATGTTCTGTTTTTTTTTTCTTTTCTTTTTTTTTTTGCTACTTTGGTCCTTCCTGATAGAGGTGGCTGCATTCATTTTCCATGGCCCCACTGCATGTAAAAATGTAGCCACCCTCTCTTGTTTCCAAGACGTACTGGGGGTGTGTAGTATGCATAGAGTAGTTCACTTCTCAGTCCAAACAAATAGCAGGGTGGAGAAAAAGGAGAGGTTCGGGAGCTTGCAGACATAATTACAAGCAAAAAGAAACACACAATAAGAATTAATTTTATGACAAATAGATTACAGGGATATTAAGTAGTTAATGTGTATGGAATATTTTTGTAGACTAAGGATATTGTTTAGTGTCATGTTAATGTTCACTGTACCATGCTTGTTGGTTAACATGTTTGTGCCATTTTGCATTTCTTAGTAACTAGGACATGCATCTCATCTCCATCTGTTGTATTTTTTCAGGTTAATGGAACACTGGTCACACACTCTAACCATCTGGAAGTGGTAAAGCTTATAAAGTGTGAGCATCCTTGATTTTCATTTACCTAATCATTATCACAATCAAGGTAGTTTCTACAATGAGGGATCATGAGCTGTTCCACTTTTGTATGCTATATATACAGCTGCACAGGGACAGCTTTAAGAGAGGCCATCAGGGAGGCAATAAGGAAGCATGTGTTGGGTATACAAGATATTAAAGTCGCTGTAAACCCATACCTACTGAAGTAACTAGCCTCATGTAAGGAGAGTAAAAAGTTCCTCCTATATAAGTTGTACCTCTTTATCTGCATCCATCTCTTCCCCAGAGCCAAAGTAGACAGTTCAAAATGTATTTCTGAGCTCCATCAGGCAGGGGTCAGGGATTTGATGTCCCATACTGTACAGTAGGAAGCTGAGCTAAGTGGAGGGAATGAACACCCAGTTGTGCTTAGAGGACATTTTTTTATGTTGCCATGGTGAACTAGAAGCACAGACCTGTGCACGCTGCTAGATGACAATGATGTGCTGTCACTGCCATTTTCAATTCTCAGACTAAGGTTTGGGTATTTATTAAAACAGTACACCAAATTTAACTTTATATGTTCTCAACTAATGTAACAATTATATAGGCAAGCAAATTAGTAAATGAGGGGAATTTATCATAACTGAAGCAGCCAGCATCTGGAGCAGCTGTACATGGCAACCAGTCGGTTTCTATCTCCAGTTTGTTCAGTTAAGCATTGAAAATGAAAGATAGACGCTGATTGGTTGCCATGCACAGCTGCTCCAGATTCTGTCTGCTCCAATTTTGATACATTCCCCCCATAGAGTTTCTGTTTAGGTAACTTCTGCATGCTGACACTACTAAATTTTGTTTTGGACATCTAGGTTTCAATTCCCTCTGTCATGAAAAAGTTAAAATTTAATTTGAACTTTTAAGTGCTGCTTATTTGACCTTCTCTGAAAAGCAAACAGACTTGAAATGGGGTGTGTAACATTCAAGTAGCATTCATGATTCCATTTGTTGTGATCAGTATGAAAGTATAATGTATTCCCTACATGTAAGGAAACTTTCCCATAAAGCTTTCTTACCCCTTTTACCCCCTTGCCTCTAAGTAGGGTCAGCCCACCGCCCCCCCCCTCAAAAAAAAAAAAAAAAACAAAACAAAAAATAAACAAGACTAATTGAGTTCTGAACACATTGCAAAATCCTAAAATGTTCATTTTCATTATTAAAACTCCCCAGAACTGATTATTTGAAAAGCATTTGTCATGCTTGCTGGAAAACATTGCATGTAAATACTTGCAGCTGGTAGTATTACAGTGCTAGACTGTTTGTGTCTCATCTCCAGCTTTTGTTTAATAACAATATGGTTTCCACTGGGCAGGGCTGCTTGTTTCAGGTTTGGATTACAAAGCGGCTTCTGTCAATTTAGCGTACATACAGATATGTTCACAAATTTTTTTTTTTTTTTTATGATTCTTGATAACATGTTCTGCTGCAGGCATATTAATGTAGAACTACACCCGCCCATGGTTATTCGAGCTACCTTATATCCTTTCCCACGGCAGTCTGGGTCTCTGTACAGGTGTGAGCGACTGATTCTTTAGATAACAAATTCAAAGAAATACCTTCCATGGTTATCAATTCGTAACCAACCTAATTTCAACTTTCAGCAGTTTTTTAGTGAAGCTAGCAAGATCAGTCTCTCTTACATTCATTGATCGATACAGCCTCTTCTTTATCCATGACCAAACAGGGGCTTCATAGCCTCACCTACAGGAGTAGGACAGTAGGCAAAAAAAAAGACTCTGCACCTCCTATGGGCAGTCCTCTCTGACCCTGTAAAAAAAACCCTTTCAAAAGGGGGGGGGGGGGGTGGCTATTCTTAAAAGCTTTAATTCCTAAACCCTTTCTCCAGTTTGGATGTACATACCCTCAAATTAAACCTGAGAGTGTGCACTTTCAGCCCATATCCATGATATAACTATAGCTTGAATATGTTTTGGTAAATACTTGAAACAAACTAAAATTGTGCCAAATATATATGGACCGAACTGTATATACTAGTCACACAAACCTTAAAGGATGGCCTTATAAGACTGACACGGTGATATCATTATTCTCAATAAAGATGTATACAATACAACAAAATAAAATAAACAACCTTAAAGGAAAACACATTAATCCATATGAGAAACATCATCCGTTTGTAATTTCAAAAACAGGTTGACATCCACTCTACTGATTAAGCTAAAGGGAACCCTGGTGTTGAGCGTGTGGATCCACCACACCTCACACTGGAGCAAGATGCGGTGTGTGTCACCCCCTCTAATGGACTTTATCTGTTCAAGACCAAAGAAAGAAAAAAAAGTGTCAAGATTTCCTCTCTAAAATGTTTGGAGACACTTGAGATGCCTTTTGCATGTAAATTGTTGGTGTCATTAAAGTCCTCTGATATTCTGACACGTAAGGAGGGAATGATGCACCCCACATACTGGAAATGACAGCGGCACTACATTCTACGATGAACACCCATTTTAGAAGTACAATTAGTATAACATTTTAAAGGATACACTTTCCCAATGGAAAAATATGTGACTGTAGTGCTTTTCTTATGTTTTTACATTGTTTACACGTGTTGACATCGGACGGATAAGAACCATTGGCTCTCAACCACTACTTGGGTTGACAAGAGGCTCTTGAGCAAAATAAGCTAGGTGATAATAAAGCACCTAGAGTATGGGCCTTTCTGCTGGAAAGCCTGTAGCCTTGTTTTAAAATATTGTATAAAGCCTTATCAGTATACAAGATCGGTAAACATCTCATGATGATGCTGACAATCTGATTGTACTGCATAGAATATGTTGTTACAAAATGGACCTTTTGATTAGTCTAGATCTTTTAGTTCTGCAGTTGTTTAGCGATCTATTAATCGATTGTCTTGATCTTTCTCCAAGGCTGGAATTCTCCCCTAATCCACCAAATGTTCACTATATCCTTGCTCCCTTAGTCTGTCTGAAACGGTATCACATTCCCTAAGGAAATCAGATTCCTTTTTCATTCACCTATAGGTAGTTCTTTAATGGTGTGAGTAGGATGACAGCTGGAGGCAAGCAGCAGAGAGTTACCCAAACATTGTTTTCTGTAAGTTAGAAACATTGCCACTCTCCACATGTCCTGTTAAAGTCAGGTCTAAATAATCAATACTTTTCGGATGATGTGTATGTAAATTCCAAGTTTAGATGTTTATTTAAGTGTACAATAAACTCTTCCATCTCCGTCCACACCAAAATCAAGTCATCAATGAAACCACAGTACCAGGCAATATCCGATTTGGAGTCCCACTGATTCATCTCCACTTGTTATTAATTGATGGTTTTAATAAAGTTAATACTGCCCCCTGGATCAAGGGGGGTCCTGATGTTATATATGTTTGAATTGTATTCATTTTATGTATGTAATGAGGAAGGCTTTGGCCAAAACGAGTTAGCTTTTGTGGATTGTGTATTTTTTGTTGTGTGCCGGTGAAGATTCTTTGAAGAAGTGACAGTTGCCAGCTGTATTACTGTGTACCTTGCAGTAAGTGTTAGGGAGTGGGGGAAAGGAACAGCTAGTTGAAGTTCTTTTACCTTAATACAAAAAATGCACTAGATAAAATAACCTTTTGACTTTAGAACCACTTTAGGCTTATTTATTTGGGTGGTAGTTGGCTAGCAGGGAAACAGACGTTCAATTTGCATAGGGAACTGCATTAATACTTTCTGTTGATTTGCAAAAGGCTTCAATATATGTTTAAAGCCTCTTATTTAAACTTCTTCTAAGGCTTCTACTGTTTTTTTTTTTTCTACTTGATTAGGAAGGTTAAACTGTCCAGTTGTGCCCAGGAGTTGGCTTTGTATTAGAACATGGATCAATAAACCAATACTCTTAAGTGTTTTACTTGAGAATGTCCCTTTTTTATTATATAAATTGAAGGTAATGAGCTAATAATGGTAACTGTAACTCCTGGTATTGATTTGACCTTTTGTTTGGGTTCAATTATTGTCTAATCTAGTTGGAAAGCTGTTAAAGAGGAACTCTAGATTCAACTAACATGCAGCATAGATTATGTTGACATGCAGTAAATATGTGCAAAATATATTGCATTTTAAATGTGTGGTATCTGCTAGATGTGAAAGGGAGTTGTTAAAGTTCTAGATGTCTCTAGTATTTAATGTTTTCCTTTTGCTGCTGAAATCATATTTTTCCTCTGAAAGCTCAGGAGGAGAGAATAGAATGTTAAACACGATAAACAGCTATAAGTCCTCATGCACACTAGACATTTTTACAGCTGCTGTTTTTGCCTTTTGGCGTTTTTTTTCTACAACCAGTAAACTCCCCAGCATGTTACCCTATGTGTCCATGCGCACACAGACTGTAATCAATGGTTTTTGGCAGAGGCGTTTTTTGGCTGGGAAAAAACCCCAGAACTAGTGGGTTTCTAGAGGAGTTTTTTTTGCTGCCAAAACACTAACACTGAAAAAGGCAGCAAAACACGGTAAATCGCAGCAAACCAGCGTTTTTGGACTTTTTATTACAAACAAAAACCTTGAAAAATGCAAAAAAAGTCACTAAACGTTATTACAAAAACACTGAAAAACTCACTTTTTATCGTGACTTTACACAGCTAACATTACCAGCGTTATGAAAACGCCCAATGTGCATGGAACCTGAAAGTTTAGAGGAGAAGAGTTCCAAAGTAAAAATAAAAGTAAAAGAGTAAATAAAGTTTAAGGCTCAGTCCACACTACTGTGACCTGAAAGTTGCACGACTTGTAGTTCAACCTTGCCAGGTGACTTCCTGACGATTTTTTGCAACTTCAGTGATGTTTGATGCGACTTTCATGCCATACGACTTTGCCTGGGTAATCTTCCTGCAATGTCAAATCCAAATCACTTCAATATAGATGAGGATCCGACTTGGAGGCGACTTCAATTAATGTCTATGGGCAAAAGTCTGATAGAAATCACCTTGAAGTAGTACAGGAACCTTTTCT